GTAAGGTGCCATTTCCAATTGTTCTTTTGGAAGTATATAAACGTGTCCTGTAGGAACAAAACAGGTAATTCAATTCATGTTAGGGATGCACATTTACATCTAAGTACACGGTTAACCAATGAGCCTGGGTTCACTGATTAACCATATCGATTACATGCACACACGCACACACCTTGCTGCCACTATCAGAGGCAACAGGAAGGGGAGGAGGGAGAGTGAGCTGGTTCCCCCATAAGCACTGGCTCCCACTTCTACCCCCCAGGTAAACATGTAACCACTAAAAACTGAGCAGTTTCACATTTACACAACCACATTTTAACAGCTCTATTTCACATACACCAAACATTCTTGCAAGATCTGTATTCTTTTTTTATATTTAAGAAGTGAACACAGCTCTTAAGCTAACAAGCAGGGGAGTAAACAGCAGGGCATCGACACCCAGCGGGAGAGAGAAACTTTGTTGAGGCTTATTTTTTAAAGAATACTTTTCAGAGGTTTTCTGTATTCTACTACAAAGAGAAAAGGAGAAAAACACATAGTTGACCATTACGTGGGGGATTCAAGGGGCCAGAGCTCATGAAATCACAGAAAACTGGGAGGGGTTGCAAGTGCTGTGGAGAATAGGGTCATAATTCAAAATGATCTGGACAAACTGGAGAAATGGTCTGAGGCTGTGGTGTCCAACATGCTAGCCACTAGCCACGTGTGGCTATTTGGCAGGTTGAGTGTGGCTACTGCTTCAGAACTGGTTGGACACAAAGTTAAACAGGATGAAGTTCAATAAGGAAAAATACAAAAAGTACTCCACTTGGAGGGGATAGAAGGAGAGAAACAATCCGTTCACACAAACAACACAGGAAGAGTCTGCCTAGGAAGAAATACTGCAGAAAAGATTTTTGGGTTAATAGTGGACCACAAACTAAATATGAGCAACTAGTGTGAAACTGCTGGCAGTGCGCACGTTGGGGGGGGGGGGGGGGAGAGAAACAACAACAAAAAAAAGCACGCAAACATTTTGGGATGCATTAAATAGGAGTGTTGTGAGCAAGACAAAAGTAGTAATTCCTCTACTGTACTCCGCACTGATTAGGCCTCAACTGGACACATGTTTCAGGAAAGATGTGGAGATATTGGAGAAGGTCCAGAGAAGAGCAACAAAAATGATTAAAGGTCTAGAAAACATGACCTATGAGGGAAGATTGAAAGACGTATGCTTGTTTCACTTAGTCTTCTCTTTTCCAAGAGGCGACATGGTGACAGCTTTCAAGTACCTAAAGGATGTCACAAGGAGGAAGGAGAAAATTTGTTCCCCTTAATCTCTAATGATAGGACAAGAAGCAATAGGCTTAAATTGCAGCAAGGGAGGTAAAATTTCCTGTCAGGGTAGTTAAGCACTGGAATAAATTGCCTAAGGAGGTTGTGGAATCTCCATCTAACTTGGTCTTAAATATCTCTAATGATGAACACCTGATAAGAATAAATATAGAAGGTACTTGGTCCTGCCATGAGTGCAGGGGACTGGAATTGATGACTTCGAGGTCCCTTCCACTTCTAGTATTCAATGATTCTAGACCAGGGTTATGCAAAAGAACCTCCATGGGCCGGATCTGGCCAGTCAAGTGGGAGGACTCGGTCCACAGAGGCCCTGCTGCTCCCGCTCCCCCTGGCCAATTAAGGCCCGGGGAGCACATGAAGCCTTCTCCGCTCTGCCCCTGCCCTGCAAGCAGCGTGCGGTGCTCCAAAGCACCGTGCGCTGCTCACAGGGTGGGGGCAGAGCCGAGAAGGCTTTGCGCGCTCCCTAGGCCATAATTGGTTTGGGGGCACGGGAGTATGCAAAGCCTCCTCCCGCCCTGCCAGGAGCATGTGGCACTTTAAAGCGCTGCGCGCTGCTTGTAGGGCAGGTGGGGGAGGGACAGTGGAGGAGGTTTTGTGCACTTCCCCTACCTCCAGGCCAATCAGGGCCTGGGGGGCAAGGTAGCTGCATGAAGCTTCCTTCACCCTGCCTTGGCCCTGTGAGGAGCCCCCGGCACTTCAATGTGCCACGTGCACCTCGCAAGGCGGGAGGAGGCTTCCCACACTCCCCTGCCCCCAGGCTCTGATTGGGCTGGGGGTGGGGGAGCGTGCCAAGCCTCTTCCAGGTCATGGGTGCCTAGTGGGAAGGGGGGGGGCAAAGGTGCTCCCCTACTCCCAGATCCCAATCATGGTCTGGGAGTGGGGTAGCCCTGTTCCTTCCAATTTAGGCTCTGCCTCTTCCTTGCAGCCCAGGGCTACTTCAAAAAATTTTTAAGTGGTCCTTGGACACAAATTATTGCCCACCCGTTCTAGACAGTCCATCTCCCTCAAAAACTGTAGCTATGGAAACGGAGAAGTTGTTTGCAAACACTGATCCACCCAGCACCACTGTACAAAAAGATTAAGTTTTAAAAACTTGTTGCGGATATGATTTTTTTTAAAAGACACAGAGAAGTTATGAGACTTCAGTATCTATTTCCCTTTTCCATCTATTTTTAATCTATACAAATGTACAAAACCAAATAGATAATTGAATAAAAAATTAATCCATATAAAAAGACAGAATGGTCTTGTTCTTATAAGAACTAACAAGTTTATCATACCTCAATATTCACAGCTTTCACAACTTTTTTTAATTTTCATTGTATTCTGATATTTAATCCTAACAGAAAGTGCATGTATGTCACTGTGGCCCTAGTCCTTCAAGCAGCATTGTATGGGATGACGTCTATTTGTATTGGATCCCATATGGAGGAGTCCTTTTGACTTCAAGAAGTAACCTCCTGGTCTGCATGGGGTTTCTATTACATGGAAAATCTTGAGGGATCCGGCTGCATGTATATACACACACACTTACGCTGCAATTCTAAAAATATTTTAAGAAAAAAGAAGTGAATTTTCCGTCTTTATCTTATGACCAAAGTCTACAAATGCATAAAAATGGGATTTCCATATGCAAGAAATTACCACGCAGTGCAACTCTTTGTAATATGGACAGAAATAAACAGATAAAAAGCAATCAATCAATCAATCCAGATTAAGACATCAGAAAGTAAAATGTATGCTTTTGCTCAGTGACCTAGACAGCATACAGTTGGTAATTTGATCTTGCTACATTTTTGTACTAAAACCAATACTGTCATTAAGGGGCACAATCTGATGGAAATCAGCTTCCAAGTAAAGGGGCAGAAATTTAAAGCTTCCATCTCATGCTGTTTATTCCATTTTGAACAGTCTATTTCATTTAAACCAACAGTAACAGCACACATTTCTGCAAAATCTAATCTTTATAAAAAAAGTGGAAACAAAACTGTACTTTTATATTGGCTTCAATTTGATTCAAGCTAATAATTGTTTTTTAAATTAAAGTTTTAGTGTCTGAGCAGTCATCTTAACATGCCCTGAAATTTTAAAAGGAGCTCAGAAAAGTTTGTGGAGGTTTTTCTGCTCACTTATTGATGATTATCATGTTTTTTTCCCCCCAGCAAGAATATGGCTAACTATGCAGGGAAACAAACTGACGAAACACCAAGGGTCTGATCCTGTAGGTACAGAGTGTCTTCACCTCACAGACACTTAATGGTTGTTGAATATGCTTAGTACCTCTCAGAATGCTCTTGCAGGAACAAACAAGCACAAAAGAGCTCACACAAAAAACCATAGTGGAATAAAAAAGAAATGTAACCCCCCCACACACACACACAAACGCACACTCAATCTCATTGATCATCTTTTCTGCTGTAAAGGTTTTAAGTGAAAATAACATTGTCAGGACACTTTGTATTTTTTCAAGTTGAAGGCATCCCTCCCTTTCAGTCAATTTTACTGGACACTCAATTTTTCCACCAACTCTAATATTCTCTTAACTTCTCAAAACTATATCAGACCTAGCTACCAATTCTGCAAGTTCTTTGGGGCAAAGTTTGTATCTATGCGGGTTTTTATACAGCACTTAGCACAACATCATGGTGATCTTTACTGAGGTATTACTGCAATATTAAGTACAATTTTTTTTTACAAAATTAGATTTTTTTTAAACTAGTGACAGGGTGTGTATACCCCACACAGGGCCAGGAGGGCTTAATGCCCTGTGGGCGGAAGTCCTGCCCGACCCAGCCTTACTGGGCATGCTCCAAGAGTTGGAGCAGTATAAAAGGGAGCAGCTCAGCTCAGTCTGGGCTGGAAGGGAAGGACTTCCTGCAGGAGTTCCAGAGATACACCAGCCAGAGAACCATACATTAGTAGCCAGAGACCCAGATGACTGTCTTGAGCTACCAGCATCAGAGGAGCCATAGGGAGAGGCAGGTGCTGCAGAATCAGAAAATCCAGAGAACGCGTGGCACGTCCCCACACCAACACAGGTAGGAAGTGACCCAGGGAGGGTGCGGAGTGATATCTCCCATCCAGATGGGATGGGCGTGTTGAGGTTGGATTCCCTGCTGAGCAAGTGGTGGAGCAGTCTGCTACTAACAGGGCCCTGAGTTGGAGCCTGCTGGAGCAGGGTGGGCCCAGGCCCTGTACCTGGACAGTTGCCCCAAATATTGAATCTAGCCATTAGGCCATGCTGCCCTGAATCCTAGAGTTACATTATAGACTGGCAATTGGGCCACACAGCTTCAGGATAAGGCGGACTTCCAGTATGACAACTTCACTGGAAGCATTAATCCTAGCACTTTTCAATGGAAGTTTTGCCCTCACCGTCAATGTGAGCAAAATATCACACCACAATTTAAACTCTAAGGAAGATGAATTTGCAGCTTCCACTTAAAATTAGAGATGTAAAAGGTTAACCGTTAAGCCTTAGACATTACGCCTCACCCATTAACAGATGAGGCTTACCAGTTCCAGTTAACCAATAGGGGCTGGAGCAGCTCCCTGCCCATCTGGGCAGGGGGTTGCTCCAGCCCTGCAGGGACCACCAGAGGCAGGGGCTGCTCCAGCTGGCTGGCCAGAGCAGCCCCTGTCTGTGGCGGTCCGAGCCCACCCCACACAGGTTACATGCTGTGGCTCCCTGGGAGCAAGAACAGCCCTGTTTCAGCAATAAAACCTCCTCCTCCAGGAGCAGGACTGGTGACAGCAAAGCCACCTCCCCAGGAGCAGGACTGGCAGGGACTGATGGTCCCACTCTTAGAGAGGCTTAGCTGTGGGTTCTGCAGTATAAACTGCGGAGCCTACAGCATACGTAACCGCTCAGAATCTTAACGGTTACACAGTTACCTTGTTAAACGACTTTTTACATCCCTACTTAAAATTACAATTTCTTCTAGATTGCCAACATTCTGACCTGTGAGACTGCTTCAATGTAATATACGAATTAAGTATTCAAAATCTTTTAAAGATTGGCTCTCAAATTGTGGTTCACAGAACTTTTGCAATGAACCTCACATTATTTCAGTCCACTAAATCATACTGAAAGATGCTACAATTAAAAATGTATTTTATGTAATATTGCTTTCTACATAAACAATGATTTTCATTGCAACAGGAATTGAATCATCAGCAGGCAAAGAAGTGGTCTACAGATCCTGATGGAAGGGACGATGGGCTATGATAAATCTTCCTAAAAAGATGTAGCCCACAAACATAAAAGTGTTTGAGAAACCCAAATATGTGAAACTAGGTTTACTTTTCAGTGTTACAGAACCATTGCTGATCATGACCACACAGACATATTGTGAGAAATTAGTCTTCTGTAGCTCTATATCAGGACCTGATAAGTAAATAAATACATGTTGAAGATACTCTTAACTAAGCCAAATGATTTTCTTCCCTTTTTATTCCATTACCATCATGTGCCATATTGCTCAGGGCAAGTCACATTGCTTATGCAAATTATACAACAGTCCTGATAATGCAAACAATGGAACTAGTGGCCTGAATAGTGCTATGGAACTCTTAGTAGAAACGCCTAATACATACAAATTGCATTGTTAGCCTGTATTTACTACACTTAAAAAAAAAAATCTAACCTCCAAACCACCACAGATTCCAACAGTAACTGATTTCCTGTACCTTAAGATTCCTAGCTATTTTGTTGTGTGAAATATTTACTTGGAATTCATTTGTTTATAACATTTCTAGCAACTGTTTCTTTCTATAAAAGCAGATTCAATTAGAATAGACTTACAGGTCCCATATGGTTTTATCAGTCACTGTATAAATGTGCAGGAAACTACCCCTTGAGGCAGTGTCCCTATTTAATCATTCCCTTAAAGCACATACTGCCCTATTTTCCAGATGGCATTTAACAGATGAGGCCAGCAAGCCTCCTGCAGGGGGGACTGGTACACTGCAAAGCAGTCCAGACCTGAGAAAGAAATATCAATTTCAGCAGCTTTAGGGAACTCAAATTTACATTCGTGGATCTATTTTAAAAAACAGCAAGATAATGTTAAAAAAAGTAACATAGCTAAAGCTTTTAATTTCTCATACAGCAACTTGGAGAAACTGGTGGTTGCTCAGTATTACAACTGATTTTTTCCCCCCACAGAAGCATTTTGTTTGGTCCATTGGTATAAAGCAAAGTGATGCTTATATTTCACATATGTTTTCTAACTATAAAGAAACTTAGGTTCACAAACACTGGAATACACTTGTTAAAAAAAAATAAGAAGAAATACAGATCTACGCCGTGACTATTAATTAGGAAATGAGGCAAAATGGAAGGGGTCTGGAAGGGTCAGAAAGCTCCATTTTCATCAAAACATCCCCTTAGAACAAAGTCTTTGGGGGTTTGCAGAACAGGCAGCTGGTATAGTCTTTTAGACTCCCCCAGATCTCTAGGACTGATGGGAACATGACCTCTCTCAAAAGACACACACACGGATAGAGTTTATCTTCAGAGGCACAATTTCTATTGCGCCACACAGAGTTAATATTAGGTATGAACAGCCATCAATTTTCTAGAGAGGAAGGAGGAGGCAATGTGGACAATGTTTCTTTCTCTTTAACTCTCAGTGTGGAATTTCTAAAGGGTCAGGAGATGATGATGCTACAGAAGGAGCACTCCTCAACGTCTCTGTCCCTCCTCTCACCCAAGCAGATATACTTTGAGCAGAAGAGCTTGTAACAGGGCAATCTGACCCTATATTTGTAAGCAAATTTTTTTCACTGAACCTGTTAAGCAGACCATTCTACTTTTTAAGAGAATGATAGATTCCGATGCTCTTTTTCCAATGGAAAAAAATAATTCATCTTTGTGATCTAATTATGGAAGATCCAAGACCTATGGAATAGCAAAGTTTAAGGATAAGTTTCTTGCTTTCAGATGAAAGACAGAAAGATGGAGAAGTTTCCTAGCTGATGGGGTCCCTTTCAAAAATCTTTCAAAAAAATAATTACATAAGCTGGTCAAGTTTCCTATTAGAAGATGATAGAGGAGCTTTCTTCCCACTGGTAGTCATAGCTGTCTTATCTAAAGTAAACTTTACTCAGGTATTCATACAAATCTCTGTATCTTTCAGACCATACAACAGGAGAATAGCTGAAGATAACAAGATATAGGAGCTAAGCATCAGCAGCCTATTGGTGACGCGAACACCAGGTTTATTAACCCCACTTGCACAAATTTAAATAAAGAACTAAATTAAAACATACCATTTAGATTAAAGAGTGATGGACAACACACAGAAGAGCCAGAATTATTAGCATGCTTATTAGGACCCATAGCAGTCCTCTTACAAGAAATCTAGGAGTAAATTATCAAGTATATTTTTAATACACTTCAATGCCAAAGTAACAGATGACTTACAAATTATTCAGATACATCAACAGGACTCAGCACAACCTTGATCTGGATGAGAGCATAAAATTGTCACTGATAAAGTCTTCATATGTCCAAAATTAGGGAATGGTAAATAAGGAAGAGAAATAGTAATAGGGCAGTAATACAGGGCAACCAAGTTTGCTTGGTAAACTAAGTGCAAGCAAACAACATGCATTTTAATATAGCTAAATGTAAATGTATGCATTTAGGACCAAAGAACGTAGGCCATACTTACAAGATGGGAAACTCTATCATGAGAAGCAGTGACTCTGAAAAAGATTTGGGGGACATGGTAAATAATCAGGAGAATATGAATTCCTAGTACAATGTTGGGGCCAAAAGGACTAACGTGAGTGCAAAGAGAGGGGAATCTTGAGAGGCAGTAGAGAGGTTATTTTACCTCTGTATTTTGCATTGGTGTACTTGCTGCTTTAGCAGTGTGTCTAGTTCTGGTGTCCACAATTCAAGAAAGATGCTGATAAACTGGAAAGGGTTCAGAGAAGAGCCATGAGAATGATTAAAGGATTAGACAACATGCCTTATAGTTGACTCAAGGAGTTCAATCTACAGTGAAAGCTTTGTTACCCAGCACTCATGGGGAATGGGGTTGCTGGTTAATTGAATGTGCTGGATAACAAAGCATATTGCTCTGCCCCCTCTCCCTATCAGCAGATCCAACTCCTGGCAGCTCGAGGCAGACTAAGAGGGAAGGAGGTGCCTGCTGATGATCTCAGCCAGCAGTGCTGGCTGTCAGAAGCCTTGCAACGCCCAGCTACACAGGCGAGAGTCAAGCATCCATTCCAGAAGTCGCGGCAGTATTGTTGTTGGGGGCAATACCGGTTCAAGTTTTCTGGTTAACAGAGTGCTGGATAGCAAAACGTTCACTGTATTTAGCTTAAAAAGAAGGTTAAGGGACAATATGATCATAGTCTACAAGTACTTACATGGGAAATAAATACTTGATAATGGACTCTTCAATCCTGCAAACAAATGTCCAATGGCTGAAAGATGAAGCTAGACAAAGCCAGCCTGGAAACGAGGCATATATTTGTAACAAAGTAATTAATTATTGAAATAATTTACCCAGGGATGAGATGGATTTTCAATTTTTAAATCAAAAGTGGGTTTATTTTAATATATGCTCTATTTCAGAAAGGATTATTTTGGGGAAATTCTTTAGAGGTCAGACTGTTACTAGAACAGTGGTCCCCAACCTTTTCAGGTTGTCGGGCGCCAGGGGGCGTGGCCGTTCGCCCGCCGGGTGCCAGGGGGCGGGGCCCCCCATATCAGTGCGCCTGGGGGGGGGGCCACCTCCAAGAGCCGCGCGCCCGG